TGCCGTGCGTGACACCACCTGGGCCTGGATACACTTACAGACCTGGCCGCGCTTGTCAGGATCTCTTAAACCAGTCAGGAAGTCCCCGAACGAATTCACAGAGATGCCGCCCTCACCCACCCAATCCAAACCCCCCCAAACCTCCGAATATTCAGATAGCATGCGCAGCGCACTCGATTGCTGGGCACGCTGGGGTTCGGATTCGTTGCCCTCCGCTCTCAGCCACTGCGTGGTGAGACGTCTGACGGAAAGCCAGCGCTGGGTGGTGGGGCTTGCTATGCATCGGATGCTTTTCCCCATTCGCAGGCCAATGGGACTTTCTCGGGCTTGCATCCAGCAGAGCGACCGCAAACCCTCGGTCTCTCGGCGGCGGGAATGGCCAACAAGAGGCTGAGATAAAGCTCGGCCGAGAAGAACCACCTGCGTGCAAGACTGTCGAGGGGTTCATTTCCTCCAGCTCGAAACCTGGCCAGGTTGAGACGTCGCCAGGCACAAGCGGTCGCCCTGATGAGGGCAGCAAAAACTTCTCCCGCTGCACTCTACGGCACACGAAGTTCGACCCGCCGAGCCCCGCCAGGCGCAGCACCGCGGCCCTGCGGGGGCCCGCGGGGGCATCGTCGACCACGCCCACGCTCCTGATGAAGGGGAGCAGGATGTCGCTGTAGTAATCGTAGGACGAGCCGTTGCAAGTTGGTCGCCCTCCTTGCACGATCTCTGCGTGCAAGTGCCCTGAGAAACCAGCCCGAAGGAAAGTGCCACGCCCCAAGCTTTCAGCATCCACGTTCCAGCCACCAGCCACCAAAAATGGGAGGCAGGACTCTCGTAAGATCTGAACACGGGACGCGAAGAGCTCCATGTTGCCTGACTGGCCAGCGCTGGTGATGCCATACACTGAAACGAACGAAATCTGCATGCTGCCAACCACCGTGCGCTTAAAAACGCGACTTGGCATGCTCCCCCTTTGGCTGGCATGGGACGCTCGGTAAGTTACTAAGGCTGAGCGCTCCGACGCCGCCTGAGGTAGATGTCGCCGTGCTACCCGTGATGTGGCAGCTGTTAGCAAGAAACCGATACCCTCGAGTGTGAGCCCAGCTCTGCGCATTCTTTATTTGATCACCTCCACGAAGGCGATGTTCCTGCACATGTAAAAAATCGGGTTCCAATTGTTTGTCCAACACCAGCCATTCTAGGAAAGTCTGCAAGGTAGTCCACGTATTCCCGTTGTAAGTGACGAGCGTGAACTCAGACTGATGCTCGCGCGTTGAAGGAGCCTCGAAATCTGCTGCCCATCGAAGGGCTCGAGCAGCTTCTTGAGCCGAACTCGTAGCCTGCGACGACCGCGGTGACACTGACTCATCTCCCAGCACTCCGACAGAAGACGGCACCGCGGTGCTGGGGGTCTCGATGTCCTGCTGGTGGAAATCACACATCTGCAATTCTGAGTAGTCAGGGAAGCTCCTGCCGCCGTACTTGCAAGCGTGAGAGCAGACCCCGTCGTAGCGAGGCTTAAATCCTGACTGCAAATTTTCCGATACCTCTCTGACCCGTTGATGACGTGGTTGTCGATGAAGACGCCCCCGATGTTCATGCCGTTGCGCAGCATGCGGGGGCAATCAATAGTTAGGGTTGTGTCGACGCCGAGGGGGGAAGCCGCCTGCTGCCAGAATCTTCGCCTTAGCACATAGATATCCCTCTTCAGCATTCGTCGGAGCAAGCTCGCCGAGGTCGGCGCGAAGGTCCCCCCCCCAGCTCCATGTCCCCGAACTGTCAAGAGGATTTCTCACCACTGTCCTCGGCGCCGACTGCCTGGACCCGAGGCTTCTTCTCAGGCGGCACCTCCAAGAACCCCACCGCACGAGACTTGAGCGCCTCCGCCAACAATGGTGCCAACGCCTCCGCGTCGGCGACGCCAGCCATATTGCGCAGCTCGACCAGCAACTTGGACTCGTCGGCCTTGAGATCAGGCCCCGTGAGGTCCATGGCCTGTGGCTCTGGAGAAGACTCCTGTGACGACAGCGAGCGCAACTCCTGATCCAGGTCCTCGACCGCCTTCTGGCGTTCGACCACCAACGCGTTGGCCGCAGCTGCGGCCTCCTGCGCCTTGACCACTGCCTTGTCCGCTGCACACTTCTCCTGCTCGGCCTTCTGCAGCTTGCTGCGAGCTTGTTCAGCTCTGCGCGAAAGTGCAGTAATCTTCGCTGGAAGGGACTTATTGTCATATAGCTTCCGACGAGCTGCCTCAAGTTGCACGCGAGCTTGTTGCAGTGGCTGAGATGTCCATCCCTGTCGAAGCGATTCCAACCATTGCACGTGCTTGGCCAGACCGTCAATCTCTTCACGAAGCTCGTCCGACTCATTAGACTCATGCTCAGGCTCCGCAGGACCTTCGCCTCGCTTGAGCCGCGCATTCTCGGCCTCCAGGAGCCGAAGGCGCTTCTCCATCTTGGCCAGGGCAGACACGGAGCCTGAATCAGGCCCAGTTCCTTGGTCAACACGACGTTTGCTGCGACTCGGAAGATCAGCGGGGACATTGCACTTGAAGCACGCTCCCTTGTGCAACTTACACTTGTAACACTTCTCGTTGCTGCCGAAATTGGTAAGAGGAGCCCAAGTGCGACGAAACGTATAAAAATCTTGCACATCCAATCTGCCTTGGGCTGCTCTTTGGACTACGGCGCTGGCGCCATGGCGTCGTCTTGACGAAAGGATGGGCCGCCAGAGAGCCCCTGCGGTGCTGGCAGTCTTGAGCCAAAACGGCTACGGAGGAGGAGGAGGAGGGGTCGGGATCGAGCTGCATTGGAACAACAAACATCTATCAACGTTGGCGCGCTGGTGGAGGCTCTACGACAACCGGGGCCGTTTGAAACCGTCGGCAAGCAAGTGGTCCAACAGATTGGGGCGAAGGGCTGTATCGAAGAACACCTACGACTGAAGCAAGATAAAAACTCAACTTCTACTATGTACGACTGCCTTCCAATCTCACATATTTACGTCCCGCATGTAAGTTCCTGGTCGCAAGCGGCCAGCGCCAGTTGCCTCGAGAGACCGTTATCGCCCTGGCATCCATTGCCCCTTCACCGCAGTGAACAGGCGGTCTGACCCGGATCCTCGGTCGCCCAGCATCTGCAAACACCGTTTTTAATGGACGTCGTCCCAACCAACGGCGCGGCCACAAGGCAGCCGATGACAGTGAACGCACAAATTAAGAAAGCCAAGATCATGGCGACGGCACCTCCGACCATCGCCCTTACCTCTCCGGTTGAACACAATGTCTGCCCGCGCCGCCTGCGCTTCCTGTTTCCTTTTTGTGTCAGCGCGTCGTCGATACCTTTTTCAAAAAAAAAAAAAACCCTGCGCAACTGCGCTTCCAACCGTGCCTCGGCGGATACCGGCAAATCCTGCGTCTGGAGCAACTGCACCATCTCTTCGCGGGTGGTGCAGACGATCTGCGTCCCAGCAGGGATCTCGAAGGCCAGGGTGTGACCCACAGGTGCCTCGCTGACGAAACCAAACGACATGCCCATGAATTTGGTGGTGGTCGTTTCTCGCGTGCCAACCGAGAAGGTGTTGTTGTTAACGGCGTACGTCACGGTGTTGTTGCACATGGTCTCAACGCGCTCACTGTCATGAAGGCACACCTCAGTCACATCGTCAGTACCCTCCACGAAGAACATGTTCAACATCACGTGGACCGCTAGTCTCTTGTATTCCCCTGGCCCTTCCGTCAGCATGGCAGGAGCGTCGCTGGTGCTGGCCCCCATGAGCATTACGAGGTCTGGCTGATCGAGTCCCTGCTCAGGATCGGGGGACAAGACCGTCCGGATGATGTTCCCACGGTATTCCACAATCGCGCTGGACCTTACGCTGGACTGCCCCGTGTAGTGGCAGATGTGGCCGTTGCGACACGGCAGCAAGCCCCCTTTTTAGTTGCACCCGTTCTCGGCCATCTTGCTGGCAAACTTGCGGAACGTCTCGGCCGCACGGGCGTGAAGCTCGACCTCGGACGCGGCGTGCTGGTCAACGAGGTGTTGGAGATCTACCATACCTTTGCGCCTGCCGGCCTCTCCCGCCGCGGCTCCCTGCCCGGCACGCCGGAGCAGTGCCTCGTCGGCCTCGTGGCAGCGTCGCGGCAGGGCAGCGCTGGCGACCAACACGAACCAGGCGATGCCTTTGAACGCCATGGGCTCGCCTTGTCGGGGTTTACATGCGAACCGTGCAGGCGCGTGTACAGCACAGTAGCTAGCTTGCGTCGAGGTGCCAGCTCTGATCCTCAGCCAAGAAGAACTGCTGACAACGGCCATTCGGGTTGGGGGGGAGGGTCGCGTGGAGGCTGGGGCGGAGGTGGACGGGCGGACGGACGCAGGAAAACGTTCCGTAGGACGGCTCTCTGAAGGCTCGGCGGGGGCGCTGGAGCGACGGGCACCCCATGCTCGCGCTTCAGCATGACATGCCAGGGCGTCACCGTCATACGAGCGAGTGCGCCAACCGAGCATTGAAGATGAGATGTCGTATTCACTCGGCATCTCCTGGCCGTGACGAAGAAACTGCATGAAACAAAGGGCGGAGGTGGAGCTGGAAAGGATTTTGGAATCAGCTTCTCCTGGGAGGTCTTCGTAAGAAGGATTGAAGGCTAATAGGCTCGATGAAAGGGGCCATTCAGTGAGCTGATTAAAGGTGGATTGAGCCGGGGATCAAGCCGAATTGTGCATGGGGACAAATCGGAACGATGCTGGATTGGACCGGTTTTGGACAACGACATGCCAGCGCCGACGCTGACTCTCAACCCCCACGAGTTGCATCGTAACGGATGTTGAGGATGAGGCGTTGGTGGAGGAGATCGGGCCAATTCTGGAGGACTCTCTGGATTGGGGTCGTGGTCGAGACCCAGCCTGGGCTTCGGGGGTGGACTGTAGGTCATTTCTGCCCCGCAGGCGTACATAAACGACGACGACGACGGTGGCGGCGGCGACGACGGCGACACGTCAAGGGCGAGGGGGCGCCATGAACGGCAGCGTCTCTGGCGTCGGCTGCAATATCGTTGCGTTGCGAGCCTCGCCCTCCACCTCGGCATGCCCGAGCCCTCCTCCCTCCCCTCTCCCGCCCTTCCTTCTCCCTTCCCCCATCAGTTGGGCAAACTTAGGCGAAGCGGCCTACACATTAAAGCTAATTAGGTGGGCGCAGCTGGAAGGTAGAGTCCAACACATCGACTGAGGCAAAGACAACTCCTCCTCCTCCTCCTCCCCCACTTCCTCCTCCTCCTCCTCGCCCTCCCCCTTCCCACCCCTCCTGCCACGCCTCCCTCTTCTCCCCCTCACCCGTCCTCCCTCTCGCCCGTCCTCCCCTCCTCCTCATGCCCCTCCTCCTCCTCCTCCTCCTCCTCCTCCTCCTCCTCCTCCTCCTCCTCCTCCTCCTCCTCCTCCTCCCCTCCGCCCACTCCCCTCAAGCACGGGGCAGACTGCGTCGTCCGTGGAGGGGCCAGCACCGCGACCACAGGGGAGGCCTCTTGGGGTGGAGGGCCCCAGGGCCACGACGGGTCTGGCCTGCAAGGTGAGGCATGAAGGGGCCCCAGGACACACATATAAATACACACACATAAAGATATCCACCATTTTCTCCCATATTGTCTGGGTTTCTGTCTTCCCCCCCACTTCCCATATTTCCCCATATTTTCTGGGGAATCGCCGATTAATTGTGTCAGTGTGTTTCTTTCCCTCCTGAAGGTAAGGCCCGAGGCTTCCTGTTTATCCTGTTTGTCCTCCCTCCTGGGAACAAGGAAGGGCGACACCAACACCAGCAGGGCGAGGAGGTGCCAGGAGGCAAGGGGAGTCTCCCTGGTGGTGTGGCCCCCCACCTCTCGGTCGAGACGTCCCCGGCACCCAGCTCGGGGAGGCATCGTGGACCTCCTCGCTGGAGGTGGGCCCCCGGGTGGTGCTGGTACCGCTTCTCCTCCCTCCGACCTCCCTGATCCTTGACCGCGACTGAGCGGCTCGAGTCCTGACCCCAGGAGCGCACAGAAGATAAGGCGGCCCGGGTGTGAGAGGGGCGCAGGGCCGGAGTTCCGAGCGGCCGCTCCCAGGGGTGGGAATCCCCCCAGCGCCAGGCCCGTCAGACAGCGGATCAGGGCAGGAGCCCGCGCGGATCTCAGAGAACTGCTGCTTAGGCTTATGTCATTCGATCCTCTTCAAGAGAAAGCCCAGGAGTCTGCGTAAGTACTGCACGTTTTCCTCAGGACCTGAGGGGCAACGGTAGGGGGGGACTGGCATAGCGGGGGATGGAATCGGCGATACGTCGCCGATAGATCGGCGATGCGGCCCCGATCGTGAGTCCGCGCACTCCTGGGCAGGTTAGGGCTATCGGGCTTCTGTCGGCGATCAGTGGGCGAGTGAGGGTCGGTGCATCCCCCCCGATGCCGATCTCCCCCTATCCTTGCCCCTGATGGCCCCTCCTCTCCACGGCGAGAACAACAACACACCGGCGGGCCCAGGCCACGTCGCGAACCCCGGCCGGCCGCCCGGCAGCTCTCCCAAGCCTTGGCCAGAGCAGGGCACGGAGGCGAGGTCGGCTCCACATTGACCTCCTCCTCCTCCTCCTCCTCCTCCTGCTCCTCCTCCTCCTCCTCCTCCTCCTCCTGCTCCTCCTGCTCCTCCTTCTCCTCCGTCGGCCTCTCCACATTGAACCAGGGTCGGCGAAAAGGGGGTCGAAGGGGACTGGCTGGCCTCCGTGAGCGCTGAGCTGACCCCCCGTGACGCGCGGCCTGAACACAACGGTGTATCTGGGCGCCGGCTGGGCGCGAGGCCAGGGTCATCTCTACGCCGATCATGGCGCTGTTGAGGACGATGACGACGCCCAAGACAGTGTCGAACTGTCGGAGAATGGCGGTGGCTACGCACTGGTCATACGTCCTTCCTCCTCCTGCACCTCGGACTCCCTTCGGGCATCATCTGTTGCACGTGAAAACGAGTGGGAAACATTTGCATGGCCCTTGGGCAAAGGTGACACTCACAAGTCGGGACGCGTATGCACTGCGATACTGTTACTCCTCCTCCCCCTCCTCCTTCTGCTGCTCTTCCTCCCTCTGCGGGAACTCATGGAAGCCTCCCATGTACGGATCCCAGTGGCACAGGTGCCGCGAATCAGGAGGAGGAGGAGGAGGAGGAGGAGGAGGATGAGGAGGAGGAGGAGGAGGAGGAGGAGGAGGAGGAGGAGGAGGAGGAGGAGGGAGGGAGGGAGGAGGAGGGAGGGAGGAGGAGGAGGAGGAGGAGGAGGAGGGGGAGGGAGGAGGGAGGGAGGGAGGGATGGAGGGAGCGAGGAGGAGGAGGAGAAGGAAGGAGGAGGGAGCGAGGAGGAGGGGAGGAGGAGGATGGAGGAGGAGGGAGGACGAGGAGGAGGAGGAGGAGGATGGGAGGAGGAGAGGAGGAGGAGGAGGAGGAGGAGGAGGAGGAGGAGGAGGCGGGTCATTGTATGGTAATGAGGGCGGAAAGCCTTCGGGGTCATCAGCAGGGCTGGCCCCCAGGGCTCCCGTTGCTCCTGTCGCGCGCTCCCTTTTCCTCTCCTCCTCCTTCCCTCCTCTCCTCCTCCTCTCCTCCTCCTCCTCCTCCTTCCTCCTCCTCTCCTCCTCCTCCTCCACCTATCTCTTCCTCCACCTACCTCCTTTCTCCTCCTCCTCAACCTGTTTTCCTTCTCCTCCTCCTTCTCCCTCCTCCTCCTTCTTCTTCCTTCGTTTTCCCTCCTCCTCCCTCCTCCCTCCTCCTCCCTCCTCTCTTTTCATCGCTCTCCCCTCCTGATCCCTCCTCCTACCTCCGCCTCCTCCCACCTCAACCTCCGCCTCCGCCTCCGCAGTCCCACGTCCTCATACTGAGCTCCTCCCTGCCGCACCCCGAGACTGGTCGAAAGAGCGGGCCGAGCGTTTCGCCTGGGACTTCCTCTCACGATGTATGATCCTGAACCTCTTCGCGCCGCACACACTCGCCGTCAGAGCTCGCAACCCTTTCACGGATGGGGAACGGGCCGGTTCCAAAATGCGGCCCTCGCCTTGGCACCAGCGGGACATTCGTCTCAAACGTGTGCAGCAGCTTCGCGGGTGGAGGGCGGCCCTTCAGTGCGGGGTGCCGGCAAATCTCGAGCCTTTTTCCCGAGGGCCACGTCTTCATCCCGAATCGCTGTTGGGAGGTCCTGGGGCCCGGGGAGGGCCTCCGGAGGCCGAACACTGCCAAGAACCTCCCGTCGTGATCCGTCCACGACGCGAGCACGTCTGGAACGTGGCACATGGAACATGTCAGAGCCGAGGGAGGCATCGGACGCCAAGGGAGGCGCGTCCTTGGTGACCTTCTGGTCGCTGTCCACGCCGAGGTCGTCGAAGCCGCCACTCGGGGCGACCGTCGTCTTCGGCGGCTCAAGCGCCTGCCACTTCTTCTCCGGCGCGTCCTCGGGAGGCCTTGTGTCGCCCAAACTGCCAAGATGAGGTCCGCCGATCTGGCGTGTGAGGCTCAAGTAGCCCGAGCTACCGCCCAGAGTCCGAGCCTCAGCTCTGCTGGGGACGGTCTCAGGGGTTGGGGGGGGGGCAACCCCCTGCTACGCCTCAGCTCCGCTTTGCTCCGCCTCCTCGGGGGGCCTCGGACACGTCAAAGTGCACAGCTCACGGCGGCCTTGGCCGGAGGCCATTGCAAAACATAGCGATAGGCAAACGTGTGCTTTTTGTCGGCCGCCAGTGGCCCTCGCTGGGCCGCAAGACCATCAGGCAAAGATTCACGATGAAGAACTGGTCCCGGGGACTCCTCCTCCTCCTCCTCCTCATCCTCCTCCTGGCAGTGTTTTGAAACCTGGGCCCGCGGTGTACGATGCCCCCGCCTGGTCCGTGGTCAAAATCGACGAGGACGGCGACTTGGTTGCCAGTCTCTCAGGCCCTGTGGGGGCCAGCCTTCCCCCCACGTCGCCCGCTGCCGAACACCTGGGGTTTCTAGTTGCTACGTCCTGCCCCAGAGTCACCAAAGCGTGGACGGATTTCAAGGGTATCCTCTCGGTGCACCAGAGCGCCGAAGTCTCACGTAAGGAAATGTACTCAGGAGTTTCACTTCTGGCCAGGACCCAGAGCTGCTTTGCGTCCCTCGAGATCGGGAAAGTAAAGGCCCACCAGGATCTGTCGTCCCTGGTGGTCGGCTCGAGGGACTGGTTTGTTGCCAAAGGAAATGACTGGGCGGACAAGGTGGCCAAACAAGCGGCCGCCAGAGTCCCCGCCCCGTCCCAGAGAGAAATCGAGCATTATAAAGAATCCCGTAGCCGAGTTCAGAGGCTTGTGAAGTATGCTGCTGAGGCGCTTTCCTTGTGGGCCCCACTCGCTCCGAAGTCGGGCAAGAAGGCCCACGAGAAGCCCGCCCAGAGTCTCAACCCCCCAGTTGGGGCAGCGGGAGCAGTCAGCCAGTGGACTGAGGACTGCACCACCCCCGCCCCCTGGGGGTCGTCCTCGGCGTGCTCGTGCGTGCCGTAACCCCCAAGGCGTGGCCAGACATCAGTGGGCATGGCTTAATAGTCATTGGCTGTGCCTAGCGTGTCATACCTGCGCCCGCACGGACAGCACTCGCAAGACCCGCATGCGTGAAGCATGCCCAGGTAATTCAGTAATGTTGTCAAAGTTAATTCGGGACCCCCAGAAACACCATTTAATGATATGTGATTACCTTGATGTCGAGTCCTTCATAGTCGTTTGTAAGAGGTGCGGCCGCTACAGCGAAAGCAACCTCAAAGGACTCAAAGGTGAATGCAAGGAACGCTTCCAAAGCAAGTTCTCCCAAAGTGCGTGGTCCCTCCTGGCAAGCGGCCGTCATCCCAAGAGTAGTATGAAAGCCCGCCCCCGACTTTCCCTGCCCATCCCTGCGGCCCAGCTCCTCAAGGAAGGAGGGGCGACGTAGGGACGAAAGCGAGCGTAAGGGGAGAGCGGATGTAACCCTCAGGTTTCGTTTAGGGTCGGGTCGGCCTAACCCTAGCCTTCCTCATTAGCATGTGATGGTCCTCATCCTCCTCCTCCTCCTCCTCCTCCTCCTCCTCCTCCTCCGCTTCCTCGCCCCACTCCTAGCCCTTTCGATCAAGGTCGGCGGCACCGGCCGTCAAGCCTCTCCAATATTCACTATGAAGAACTGGTCCCGGGGACTGGGTCGAGACCTCTGGCAGTCCATTTTTGAAGCAAAACATGACGTCGGGAGCCCGAGTGGAGGACAACAGAACAGCCCTCATGATAAGCAGCCATACAGGCGAAGCCCTTCAATAAACGCGCCAAGGAAAGGAATCTGAGCAGGGTAGGGCTGTTCAGTGTGAAGGCCCGGTGCTGCTGAGCAAGCGCCAATAATGGGGGTCGGAAATGCTCTTGCCCCCTTGACACAAGCAGTAACGGCCGGCATCAAGTCAATCGATTCGGGTCGCAACGGACATAATCGAAATCCAAATCGCATCGTCCGCGCAAGGATGCACAACAGCGCCATGCAAGCATCGGACCGCATCGGAGTCGCCATGATTAGCATCATGATCACCATCGTCATCGTTTTCATCAGCACCATCGTCATCAGTTTTGCAACGTCATCAGCAGCATAGTCATCATGAGTACCCCCGCCCCCTCCTCCTCGTCCGCCTCCTCCTCCTCCTCCTCCTCCTCCTCCTCCTCCTCCTCACCTCCTCATCCTCTCTCCTCCTGCTCCTCCTCGTGCTCATCCCTTTCCCCCCTCTCCCCCCACTCTCCTCTGTTCTCCTCTCCCCTCCTCCTGCAAAAATCAAGGAGGTCAGGACACCACCGCACGTGCGTCCTCCTGTGAGAGCTCCAGGGACGACGAGACCAGCACACACAAACAAACAGAAACACGCCCCCCCGTGTCACCATGTATTTCGCGTCCTTTCTGATCCTCTTCCTCCTCATCCGCCTCCTCCCCATCCCTCCCTCCCTCCTCGTCGTCCTCCTCCGCTTCTCCTCCTCCTTCTCCTCCTCCTCCTCCCTCCTCCTTCCCCCTCCTTTTCTCCCTCTTCCTCTTTCCCTTCTTCTCCTCCTCATATTTTCCTCTTGTCCCCCTCCCTCTTCTGAGGGTGACCCAAGACGAGCAAATGATAGCTTACTTGTTTTACTTTGTTTGGATCCTGCGGGGCGTTCGAAGATTGAAGGTTGAAGGCATCGTCCTCGTCCTCCTCCTCCCCATCCCTCTTGTCTTCGTCCTCCTTCTTGTCTTGTATTCCTGCTCCTCCTCATTCTCTTCCTCCTCCTCATCAGCCTCGACTGCTCCCTCTCTTCCCCTCATCCTCCTTCCCCACTTCTCTTCCTCATATGATCCTCTTATCCTCCTGCTCCTTCTGAGGGCGACCCAAGAGGAGCAGATGATGTTGTACTTGTGTTGCTTTGGATATGGATCTTCCCTCGGAGAAAGACTGCGGGAGACAACGTAGCATGTCCGTAGGCATTTGAAAAAACGCTGTGTTTCCCAGCTGTTCCAGCTTCTCCGAAGGATTATCCTTTGAAACGCGCTGTGTTGTCCAGCTTTTCCAGCTTTTGCCAGAGACCGTTGAAAAACGCTGTTTTCGAGCGGTTCCAACTGTGCCTACGTTTCCCAAGGGACAATTATTTGAAAACCAGCGTGTTTCTCACCTTGCTCAACTTGTTTCAGAGACTTGCCGTTGCCCAGCTTTTTCAAGTGTTTCCAGTTTCTCCCAGGAACTACCCTTTGAAAACCGCTGCGTTGTCCAGTGTTTCAATGTTTTCCCAGGGACTCGCCGTTGGAAAACGCTCTCTCTCTCTCTCTGTGTTCCAGCTTGTCCACTTTTTCCACTTGTTCCAAGACTACCCTTTGCAAACACTCTGTGCTTTCCAGCTGTTCCAGCTTTTCCAGCGTTTCCCAAAGACTGACCGTTGAAACAACGCTGTGTTTCCAACTTTTCCCAGACTGACCATTCAAAAACATTGTGTGCTCTAGTGTTTCCGGCTTTTCCACTGCAGCGTCGTGTAGTGGAAGGCGTGCAAAAGCTGGAAAGGCTGTACAACACAGCTTGCTTCAACGGTCAGTCTCTGGGAAAAGCTGGAAAAGCTGGAGAAGCTGGAAAGCACGGCGTTTTGGAAAGGGTAAGCGTTGGAAAAAGCTGGGACAGCTTGAACAGCTGGAAAAAACAGATCGTTTTTCAATGAATAGACTCTGGAAAAAAACCGGGAATAGCTGAACAAACTCAACACACACAACGTTTTTTGTCAACGGCCACTCTCTGGGAAAAGCTGGAAAAAGCTGGAAGTACAGCGTTGTTCAATGTGCGGTCTCTGGGAAATCCTGGAAAAGATGGAAACACACAGCGATTTTGAACGGTCGGAAAAAGTGGGAAAACCTGAAAACACAGCGGCTGTCAAAGGGTAGTCTCTGGAAAAAACTGGAACAGCTGGAAAACACAACGTTGTTCACCTGTGCATTTCTGGGAAAAGCTGGGAAAACTGGAAACATACTATGTTTTTCCAACGGTTGGTCTTTGGGAAACGGTGGAAAAGCTGGGGAACACAGCATTTTTCAACGGTACAGTTCTGAGAAAAACTGGGAAATTTAGAAAACTGTCAACAAGAGAGACGGAGAAAGAGAGCGAGTCAGAGAGAAAGAGGGAAAGAGGGATAGAGGGAGAGAGAGGAAGCACACGGAGGAGAACCAGTCCAGGCTGAGGAGGACAATGTATGATGACAGAGGGGCGACCACACACACACACGAACACACATGTATATATACACATATATCAAAGTGAAGGGGCTGAACCGAACGGTCATTCACTGTCTCTGGGTGCGTGGCTGAAGTGGAATTCCGCGATGCGGATTGTTGTTGTTGTTGTTGTTGAACTCTCACTTCTGAAGAATAATTATTGTTGATCCCCCCCCGTCCGGTGCACATTGTTTTTTTCGATTGAAGTGCCCTTCCCGGGGCTCGCACCCTGTTTTTTATTAAGGAAAGTCTTGAAGGTCAAACTGTGTCGTTGGCCCCCGGTTTACAACAACAACGGCTCCCGCCTGACACTTCCTCACAATGTATTGAAGAATCGCGCTCTCGCTTTGGACTTCGGTGCAATTTGCCACCGGATCGCGGCTCCAGCTTGATACTTCCTCACAATTTATTGAAGAATCGCGCTCTCGCTTGGGACATCCTCGCAACTTACCACCGAATCGCGGCTCCCGCCTGATACTCTCTTATAGTCTATTCAAAAGCCGCTCCTCGACACTCAGGAATCGCGCTCCCGCTACATATTGCCTGGCGGTTCAAGCAGAATTTATGCTTCAACGACTCGCCGCCCGCTCGACCCACCCGTCTAGGCCTGCCCGCCCGACCAGCCCGTTAGGGACTGCAGTCGCCGCTCGCTGCCCTTCGCCCGCCTTCGTTGCCCCTCGCTGCCCGTACTGGTTCCGAGGTCGCCTTCGCTCGCTGCCCTTCGTG